CAGTAAGATTTTTTAAAATGTTTTTGAAATTATTTTATGCTCACTGCATTAAAAATAATAATATATACTCTGCGGTTGGCTTTTCAGTATCGCGATATTACAATATTGCGATTATCGCAACAGCCCTACGCTTAACATTCTTATGTAAACTGATGTTTTCAGAAACAAGGAAAAAAATATATATAATACTGAACGCAAAATTTTGAACTGTAGCGCACATAAACTAAAATGCATTTAAGTATAAGCAACATGCATATTTACACATGTAAGTTTGTTGTGTACATGTGAAAATCTCCAGGAATTCTTTCTGCAAATGTCACTTTATGGCTTTGTTTAGACTCAGTATAGTAAAGCAAACTTTATTAAGACAGCAGAAAGGTAACACATTAGCGCAAGGCCACACACAATAATGGTATTATGCATCTCAAATTATGCAATTATTATTTCAATCAACAACTTAATTTAGATGGGTTATATCCAAACAGATCATGGCAAGATGCAATGCATTCAAGTATGTCTTTCACCTATTAATAAAACTCAGACCATTATTTTGCCATGCCTTTCTCTTTCCCATTACCCAAAATGTTAAGAAACATGCAAACCACTGGGGCAGGACACAATGCAGAGGTCAAAAGGTTAGGGATGGGTCATTAGGCCGAGGCTTTCATTGGCAATATTGTCCTCTCAATATTGGTTTTCATATTTAAAATGTTATGGAGTTTAACATGTAACAACACCACAGAATGAATGGGATGCAAATGATCTGGTAATATATTGTAGCAACTAAACCAAAAGTAAATGCAGGATGCCTGGGGATGGTAAAAACAGCTACTAAGGATTGATCTGAAATTAACCAAAAGACCGTAATTTCTTGCTAGAATGTTATTTAAAAACAACTAAATTGGTGTTTCAATTGAAAACGTCTCATATAAATAGAAAAATCAAATCCATTCTATGTTGATCGGAGTAAATGAAAACCTGGACAAAAATAAACACCAGAAACATTA